ACACACGTAAAACTCACGGATTCGCGCCCCTGGAGAAGGCCAATCTATAAGCACATACGTAAAACAACACACGGATTCGTACTCCTGGAAAGGGCCAATCTATAGGCATATAGGTAAAACGCACGGATTCGTGCCCCTGGTTAGGGCCAACCTGTATGCACATACGTAAAGACATACGGATTCCTGCCCCTGGAGAAAGCCAATCTATAGGCAACTGAGTAGAATATCATGTCCCCTGGATAAAACCTATATATATATGTATATAGGCTCCTACGGAAAAAAAACTCACAGGCTCGTGCCCCTGAAGGCCAGTGTATAGGCACATGCATAACACACACACACACGGATTCGCACCCATGGGAAAAGGGCCAATCTATTCGCACATGCGTAGAAACATACGGATTCGTGCCCCTGGAGAAAGCCAATCTATAGGCACACACACGTATAACCACACGGACTCGTGCGCCTGGAGTAACCCAATTGATGTCTTCATACGTAAAAGCACTCGGAATCGCGTCCCTGCTAACGGCCAAGATGTAAGCACACACGTAAAACAAATACGGATTCGTGCTCCTGGAACAAAAGCAAATACCTACCTACCTACCCACCTACGTACCTACATACATACATACATACAGACATACACACATGCATACATACATACACACATACATACGTACGTACATACATACATATATACATACGTACGTACGTACGTACGTACGTACGTACGTACGTACGTACGTACGTACGTACATACATACATACATACATACATACATACATACATACATACATACATACATATATATGTAGACATATTTATATATGTGTAAAATACATACGTAGAATTATCGACCCACGAACCCGGACACGAATACAGAAATATAAGGCGTGGCAACGTTTTCAAGACACCTGATTGGGCGATGGGCAATTGCAATGCTGAGTGTGTCGATCTTGAAGTACCATGCCAAGGGCTGTACTGTGCTGCGCCTTGCTGAGCTGCGATGTGCCATGCCGCGATGGTGCTCTATAGCTCTGTGGATCGAGTCCCCCTTTGCACCCGAGTCCTGACCGAACTGATCTGGATCTTAAGTTCGAGCTGCCTGAACACTTAGTAGCTGCTCCAGAGCTAATTGACAAAGGGGCACGCAAGGGGGACGCGCCGCGGAACGTACCAAGGGACGCGCCAGGGGACGTGCCATGGGACGTGCCATGGGACGTGCCAAGGGACGCGCCGCGCGACGTGCAAAAAGGTCTCGCCACAGGACGCGCCACGGAACGTGCCAAATTGTAAGGCTGAATGTATCGATATTGAAGTACCGTGCCAAAGGTTGTGCTGTACTGCACCGTGCTGAGCTGCGATGTGCCATGCTCTAGAGCGATGTGGATCGAGTCCTCCGTTGAAACAGAGTCCTAACCGAACTGATCTGGATCTTAAGCTCGAGCTGCCTGAGCACATAGCAGCTGCCCCATAACTAATTGACCAGGGGGCATGTCAGGGGGACGCGCCGCGGAACGTCCCAACCAAGGGACGTGCCAAGGGAGGTGCCAAGGGGGACGCACCGCGGGACGTGCCAAGGGGACGCACTACGGAACGTGCCAATGGACGCGCCGCGGGGCGTGCCAGGGGACGCGCCGCGCGACGTGCAAGGGGGACTCGCCACGGGACACGCCACGGGACGTGCCAGGGAACGTGCCAGGCGACGCGCCAGGGAAAGTGCCGCGGGACGTCCCTGACCCAGGGACAGGTTCCCTCGACAATTACACTGGGTTCGCGCGCCCAAGGGCACGACCCCTCGTAAATTAAACTGCGCCCGCTCTCGTTACGATGCCACGTGAACTACGCTGCGTCCGTGCTCCCAAGGCCGCGCTCCCTCGTGTTTTACTTTGCGTCCGCGTTCCCAGGGCCATGTTCCCCAGTAGATTACGCAGCGTCGGCTCTCCTCCCTGAGCCACGATGCCTGCAAAACAAGCGCTTCGCCCCCTGACGGACAGGATCCATCGTGAATTACACTGCGTCCACGCTCCCAGGGCCACGTTCCCTTGTGAATTACATTGCGTCCGCACCCCCAGCGTCAAGATCCCTCGTGAATGAGATTGCGTCCGCGCTCCGAAGGCCATGATCCCTGGTCAATTACGCTGCGTCCGCTCTCCCTGGGCCACGATCCCCCGTAAAATACGCTGCGTCTGCGCTCCCAGGGCCGCGTTCCATTGTGAATTTCGCTGCGTCCGCGCTCCCACGGCCACGTTCCCATGTGAATTACATTGTCTCCGCCCCCCCCAAAGGCCGCGCTCCCTCGTAAATTACTGCGTCCGCATTCCGAAGGCCATGGCTTTTTCGTAAATTACGATGCGTCCGCTCTCCATGGGCCACGATCCGTCGTAAAATACGTGAGCCACGTCAGCGCTCCCAGGGCCACGATCCCTTGTAAACGAAGCTGCGTCCACGCTCCCAGGGCCACGATCCTTCATAGATTACACTGCGTCCGCGCTCCCAGGGCCCCCTGTGGCATCCCTGGGCGCCCAGGTTCCTGGAAGTCTCCGAAACAAGCGCTTCGCACGAGGCTTCTTCAACAAAATATGCAAAACAAGCGCTCGGCTCGAGACATCTTCAACAAATGAACAAGCTAATTTGCCACATGTCTAACCGATCGAGATGTAACAAGCTAGCGCGTCGCTCGGGACATCCTCAAATTCTATATCGCCGGCCGTCTTCGACGTTTTTATGAATCACTTCCACCAGACCGTCTCAAGTCGCTCCCCGTGGTAAAACCTGCATAAGAAGAAACCCTGGGCCGAAGCCCTTTCCGGGAAAAACACCTGGTTCCTGGAAAAAGGCTTTTCTATAAGCACTTTAAAAATTAGTGGGGGAAGCCAGTGCGGAGGCACATGCGTGGAAACGCACGGACTCGTGTCTCCGGCGAGGGCCAGTTTATTGGCGCATACGTAAAAGCGCACGGATTCGCACTCATGTGAAAAAGTGTTCATCTACGCGCACACGCTCAAACATTCGCTTGGCGAAGGACCCAACCATGCGCAGCTGCGAATGCCGCATTTTTGAATTTCGTCTTCGGCGGGGCTCCTTGCGGGGGCGCGAACCGTGTGAGGGGTGTGCCAATGTGGAATGGCGGCGGCGCGCGGGCGCTGCCACCTGGGTTTGGCGGGGCTCCTCGTAAGGCCCTCGGCGTGGCCCCCTCTGTCCGCGATCTGTTCGGTGGGGGGTGGCGAGAAAAACTAGACCGCCCAACGTTGTCCTGTGTTCCGTCCCGCCGTGCCCGCGCGCTCCAAAGCTCAGGGCTGCGGGCGCAGCGCAGCGCGGAGTCCTCGCGACGCGCGCCGGTCGACCCGAATGGGCCCCAGCAGCGACGCGCGCGGGTCGCCCGCTGCGCGGAGCAACGGGGGCTAGCCAGCTGGCTGATTGCAGGCTAGGCTCTGGCTGCCAGGCAGAACAACGACGCGCGAACGCGGCGCCAGGCAGGGCGCGGCGTGGAGGTTCCGCGACGCGCGCCGGTCGATCCGAGAGGGCCCCATCGAGGCGCGCGGGTCGTCCATGGCGCGGGCCGAATAGTCAGACCGTCGAGAGAAGGCGAGGCTCGGGCGGGCCGCTCCTCTGGTCAAGCCTCGCGGATAAACTCGGTGAGGCCCAGCTCCCTGGCGAAGGCCGTCGCCTCCGTGCGGCGCCGCTTCGTGCGCGCCGCAAGCTGCTCCAGCTGCTTCCGCAAACCCTCCGGCGGCCCTGACAGGAAAGACTCGATCCGCGGCGCCCGCGCGTGGAGCTCCAGCCACCACTCGTCGTCCTCTTTTCTGCCGTTCCTGGCCACGCGGCGGCGTCAGCCCAGGATCACGCCTGGGCGAAGTCGGCCGAGGGAGCGGCGCGCCGGACAGCCGACGGCCTAGGGCGAGTCTGCAGGACCGACAGAAGGACAGGTTGCGGACCGCTCGCGCCCAGGCTATGGGGCCACGAAGCGCATGAAAGGTGCTTTCCCTATGGGGCCCCGAAGCGCTGTGCTGCGAGCGGGAACCGCATACGACTTCCGCCGTTGGGACTTTCGGTCTCCCTGTGGAGCCACGAAACGCTGTGCTGGGCGCAGGTACCGCATGCGAGTTCTGCCACAGGGACCTTCGGTGGGGCTCCCTATGGGGCCACGAAGTGTTCTGCTGGGCACTGGAACCGTATGCCAGTTCCGCTGCTGGGACTTTAGCAGCGATGATGCCACGAAGCGCTGTAGTGGGCGCAGGAATCGCATGCGAGTTCCGCCGTTGCGACCTTTGGCGGGTTCCTTATGAGACCACGAAGCGCTGGACTGGGCGCAGGAACCGCGTGCGAATTCTGTCACTGGGACCTTCGGTGGAGGTCCCTATGAGAACACGAAAGCTGGGCGGAGGAATTGCATGCAAGTTCCGCCACTGGGACCTTCGGTGGAGCTCCCTACAGGGCCATGAAGCGCTGCGCTGGGCGCAGGAACCGCATGCGAGTTCCGCCACTGGGACCTTCGGTGGAGGAAATGCCCTATGGGGCCACGAAACACCTCACTGGGCGCAGGAACCGCATGCGAGTTCTGCCACTGGGACCTTCGGCGGAGCTCCCTACGGGGCCACTGCGCGCTGTACTTGCGATGGTGTTGTTGATGATGATGATGATGATGATGATGGTGATTATGAGGATGCCGATGGTGATGATGACGACGATGACGATGATATGAGTATGATGATGATGATAATTGGAGCAAGGAACAAGGGGATGAAGGACAAGGAGAAAACGCAGGGGGCTGTCTGTTCGAAACGGGAACCCAACACCACGGGGTGGTTGGGGGAAACACGGTCTCGCGCCCCTGGGGAAGGCCAATTTATGATTTGTTCCACAGGGGAGCGAGTGGATACCGCTAGTCCGCGGCCAGTGCCAGGGCTTCTCCGCCCGACAGTTTTGTTTCGTGTGTTGGCAAAGGGTAGGCTGTGCGCTGCCCACTCGCCATGTCCAGTGCCTCGCAGAGGGCCAGGTCTGAGCCGCGGGCCAAGGGCGGCGGCGGCAAGGGCAAGAGCAAAGGAGTTGGCAAGGCAGGCAAGACCAACGCGAGCGGAGCCAACCCCCTGGACTACGTCCGCTGTGCGAACTGCTCGTACAAGTGGAACTTCAAGGCCAGGGTGGAGTGCTACAACTGCAAGAAGCCGCTCAAGCCTGCCGCAGTGGACGAGCCTCCGCAGCTACGGGCATCGGCGTGGTCATTCGTGCGCGAGCCGTGGGTGCGGCACTCTGACGACTGGTTCGGGTACGAGGCACCGCCACCGCAGCCCGCCCCGCCGTCGGATGCAGAGTGCCTCGCGGCGTTGGCGGCCAGGCATCCCGAGCGCGGCCAGCAGCTCGAGGCCATCAAGATGGCAGTCGCACCACCGCCCGTTGCGGCCACGGTGTTGCCAGATGTGGCCCTCAACCGCGCCCAGGCCAAGCAGCGGCGGGCTCAAGCCGCATTCCTCTCCAAGTCCCAGCAGGTCCACGACGCCGAGCAGTGGCTCCAGGCCTGCCGCGAGGAGGAGGTGCGTGCTGGTGAGCTCGTCCTGGCGTGCAACGTGGAGGTGGAGGAGGCCTACAAGGCAGCAGCGCCCAAGGGCGTCCAGGTGCAGGCGCAGGAGGCGCAGGGGCCTGGCGCCAAGACTCAGCCTGCCGTGGGCCTCAACGTCACGGCGCTTTTGGCGGAAGACTTCCAGGTCGAGGCAGGCGACGCCTTCAGGCTGGGCGACCCCGACCTGGACATCACCGACACGGAGCGCGAGGAGTTCAACAAGTCCCTGGAAGGCTTCGTCGAGCAAGTCAAGCAGCACGTGCGCACCACCTTCGGTGAGGCCAAGACGCAGCTGGAGCAGAGGCGCAGGGAGATCGACGCCAAGCACCAGCAGCTGCTGGCCAGGCGCAAGCGGCCTCGCACCGAGGCGGCAGGAGCAGCAGACCAGACGCCAGCCCAGGCGCCAGCCGCAGGCCCTGCGGCAGCAGGCCCCGCGGAGGCCCCAGCGGCCGCCGCGGCCCCAGCCCAGGCCTCCACCCCTGGGCAGCCTGAGGCCCCTGCTCGGCCTCCTGTTGCTCACCCTCCAGAGCCACCCAGCCTCCGCGGCCCCGATGGCGCAGCCAAGTTGGCTCAGCTCAGGCGGGACTTGGAAGCAGCAGCCGCCGTTCCAGCTGGGGACGCAGATGCGTAAGGCCCAGTCCTGGGGACCTGATGCGCCGCCAGAGGCCAAGCCACGAGAGCCCAGACTCGTCCGCCTGGGCAGGCGGGAGCGGGCCATCCTGGCCACGCGTATGCGCCGCATGGCTCGGCACTGGCGCCCTACCCCGTCGCTGGGGACCACGGCTCAGGACCGCAGGCACTGGGACTCCTACTGCGTGCCGTACATCTTCCACCAGCTGGGCTCTGGGGAGTACACAGCCATGCTGGACGACCTGGCAGCCACCACGGGGAGCGGATCCCGAATTGCCGAGCGCATGAGGATTGCACGGGAGTTGGGTGACGAAGCCTGGAACCGTGGAGGGGATGCCAGGCGCCTCCAGCGGCAGTGGTTGGAGCATCTGCAAGTGGCTAATCAGGATGCTTTCGAGCGTGAGGCGGCTCAGCAGGACCGCGCCCAGTCAGCCGCGGAGCGGTGGTTCGACCGCCAGTCCCAGGCGACGTCGGGAACGCAGGCCCCCACCGTCTACTTCGACGACCGCATCCACTGCTGGAGGTTGTGCGCCGCGAAGGTGCTGGAGGCCGACCTCGGCCCATCCACCTCGACTGGGACCTCGGAGGAGCCGCTGCGTTGCTCTGCCTCGCCCGTTGAATGCACCGAGCTCACTCCCACCCCAGCCGCGTGCAACCTCACGGACGAGCACCGAGGAGCTGCCCCATGTATTTCAGCTGGTGGTCTCTCTGCCGTCCGAGGCAGCCCAGATCAGCTTACGTCAGTTGGTGGTTTCTCTGGCTCAGCTGTTTCAACGGGCGATGGTCTCTCGGCCGCCGATGGTGGCACCCAGGCGCAGCTTATTTCAGTCAGTGGTGTTTCGGGCTCTACAGTTTCCACGGATGGTGGTTTCTTGGCCGCTGGAGGCACCCAGGTGCAACTTACGTCAGGCCGTGGCCCCTCTGGCTCAGATGCCTCAACTGTAGATGGTTTCTCTGTCGCCGTTGGAGGCACTCAGGAGCAGCTTACGCCAGTTGGTGGTTGCTCGGGCTTTGCTGCTCCCACAGGCGGGCCTTTCTTGGCCGCTGGAGGCCCTCAGGCGCAATTTACGTCAGATGGTGGTTTCTCGGACCCAGTTGTTACAGCAGGTGTTGGTGGCTCTGCCCACGGAGGCAGTCAGGCGTTGCTTACGTCAGTTTTTGTTTCTGCAGGCTCAGCTGTCTCATCTGGGGAAAGCCACTGCGGCCCTGGGCAGCCTAACATCATCGAGATGGTCCATGAGACTGTGGCACACCCTACCGAGGGCGGGGACGTCAGTGTCGGCAGTGTTGGCGGCCAGTCCACCTGCAGCGGGACTTCGGCAAAGCCCCAGTGCGACGTCGCCAAGTATCGACCCTCAGCAGCAGGAGCCCGCAGAGGCAAGCGTCGACAGCGGAGCCACAGGCGCTTCACCTTCCACAGCGTCAATGCCAGCCTCAGCTGGGGCAACGTTGTGGGCTACCTCCACGGCGCGGCACACCAGCAGCTCACCGAGGGCAAGATTCCGATCATCGGTTTCCAGGAGCACGGCAAGCGGCGTTTATGGGCCGAAGAGAGCGCGCGGGCCCTGCTGCCCTTGGGCTGGAGGGCCATGCCCACGCCAGCGACGGACGGCCCGAATGGAGGGGCCTCGGCGGGCGTCTTGCTGGCGATGCCTGCCTGCGCCGGCGTCACTCTTGCATCTGGACAGCGACGCTGGGACATATCTCCCCCAGGTTGTGCAGGCAGGCTCCTGATGGCCACCCTCGAGGCCAAGGGCATCGGCAAGTTACTGGTTTTCTGTGCGTATTGCTTCACTGGTCAGAAGTTGGCGTCTGTGGGCAATTCAGCTCTCCTGTCAGTTATCACGGGGTGGGCAGTCCAGCTCCAGCTGCCCTGGATCGTCATCGCGGACTGGGAGAATCTACCTGACGCTTTGGAGCGTTCGCCGTGGAACAACCAGCTCAGAGGCCGCGTCGTAGCGTGGCAAGGGGAAAGGGGCACCAACCGCTCCCCGCACGGTGAGCGCGTGATCGATTATTTCTGGATGCGCTCCAGTTTGGCTGCCAATATTTCCCCAGCCCGCATTGACGACGACGCGGTCTACCACCCTCATAGAGCCACATGGGTCGAGATTCAGCAGCCTTGGTCGGCCTTTACCTACACCAAGCTCATCCGACCCCACAAGTTCCCGATCCCAGGAGTCAAGCCGAGGCACTTCGATCTCTCGTGCCCAGACGCTCCTGCAGGTTTCGACCCCGATGCGGTGCCTACCCAGGAGCTCCTGGACGACACCTGGGAGGATTTCTGCCACGTCGCCGAGGAGGAGCTGATCCAGAAGGTGGGTTTGGACCCCAGCAGTCGGCAAGCCGATCAATGCCGAGGGCGTGGGGGACCACCGCGCTTCAGGAAGTGCCCGTTGCTCCCGACCCACACCGAGGCCATCGCTTCGTACGGGGAGGCCAAGCGTTGGAGGTGGTTTGCCAACGAGTTGGCTTGGCTGGGCATCATTGAAGTAAAGCTTTTCAGCTACACGGGCGCTTCCGACCTGGTCCTCACCACGTTGCACCAGCAGCGGCACGCCTCCATCCGCAAGTTGCGTGACCGCTTCAGGCACCACATGCTGTTAGAAGGCGTGGCTGAGCTGCAGGAATTCTTCGAGGTTTTCACGTCTCGGGACCGCGGCTATGAAGACTTGCAGGAGCTCTCGGCTTGGCGCCTCAGCTGCAGCCAGTATGCCTCGTACTTGGAGTGGCAGATCGGCAAGGAACGACGAGATTCCTTCAAGCAGCGGTTGGAGGACGACTTCCCAGGCTCGCAGGGGCTCCTCCACAGGGTCACCAAGTGGCGCCAGGCTTGGCAGGCTCCCAAGGGCAGCATCTCCAAGAAGCTGCTCCCAGCGGCGCCTCAGGCCGCCGTGGACCAGGAGTTGCACGACTGGTCGAAGGTCTGGACCACTGGCTCAGGTTTCCCCAAGCCGTGGAGGGGCCTCCAGCAAGTCGCCGTCACGCCGCCCAGCCCTCACCACCTGCGCGGTTTGGCCCAGCGTTTCAGGGCCAAGACGGGGATTGGCGTGGACGGATGGCAACCCAAGCTTTGGGCCTACCTCACGGACGGCACGCTCTCGGTGCTCGCGTCATTGCTGGCCTGGTGCCAACAACTGGGGCGGTGGCCGTCCCAGGTCCACCTCCTGCTCGTTTTCATCATCGGGAAGCTCGATGGAGGGGGCCGACCCATCATTCTTCTACCTGGCCCTTGCCGAATCTGGGAGGCGTGGCAGCTGCCCACCATCAGGAGCTGGTTGGCGGCGCGCCCCAGGAGCTACGACTACACGGCGGCGGGCCAATCATCGGAGCGTGCGCTGTGGAAAGCTTTGTTGGACGACGAGCTCGTGTTGGGCACAGGCATGCGTGCGGCCACGATGCTGGCGGACCTCGCCAAGTGTTATGAGAAGGTTCCGCATGAGCGTATGTGGTGGCTAGCAGCTTGGTGGGGCGGCCCGCTGGAGGTGGTCGCGCTCGCCCTGGAAAGTTTCGCCTTCGGCCGTGTCATTCGTCTCGGGGAGGCCTGCTCGGCGGAGGTCCTGTCCTCCACAGCGCTCCCAGCGGGCAGCCGTTTCGCGCCCACCTTCCTGAGGTTTTACCTCGCGCTGTGCTTAGACGACCTGCTGGGGGTTTTCCGCCTCACGATCTACTTGTACGTTGATGACATCGCCCTGCGGGTCATGTCCACCGAGGCGCGCGTCTTGCACATGCTGCCGCAGGCCACGCGCTTGCTGTTTTGGATGCTGGAGTCCTTCTTGGGCCTGGAGGTAGCCCGAGCGCGGGGCGGGGCGAGAGGCAAGTGCTCTTTCCTGCAAACGGCCACTCCGTCTTCAGGCTTGACGCAGGCCATGGCCGTCCTGGGAGTACCGCCCAGCACCTCCGAGCGGTGGCTCGGCATCGACTACGGTCCCAGCGTCAAGACAGAGAACCAGTCAGCCCCAGTCAGACACGCGCGGCTCAAGATAGCCAAGCAGCGTTGGCCTAAGATCCGCGGCCTTCCTCGTGCACGCGGGGGCAAGCTCAAGATGGTCGTGCGGCAGGGCCTCGGAGCCTCGGTCGCCTGCGGCGCCCGTGTCCGCGGCGCGCCCAGGCCCACCGTGCGTTTCATCCAGCAGAAGGATCGGGCCGTCCGCAGGGGCGCCACAGCTTTTACCTCCCGAGTCTTGCACGACGGCCTCGACCCCAGTTGCGCCGACACCCTCGTTCTGGCACCGCTGCTGGCTTGGGCGAGGGAAGCTTGGGACCACCCAGAGGGGCGGCGTGCGCAGGCCACAGCATGGGCCCGAGTGCAGCAACAGCTCGCGCTGTACATGGACGCCGACGCTCAGGAGTTGTGGTCAGTGGTGCGCGGCCCAGCGGGGGCCACCTCAGTCACAGTTCGAGCCCGTGGTTGGAGCATGCCGTCAGCCTTCGAGATTGTCTTGCCTCCACGTGGCGGGGTGCTCCAAGGGGGGGGCGTCCATCTTGATCTACTGCAGATTTGCCCCAAGTCGGTCGAGGCCGCCGTGCTTTTGGCCGCCCGCTCCAGAGCCCTGTGCCAGTGGGCGGCGGCTCAGCCCGAGCGGGCTGCGCCCCTGCCAGCGCCGTGGCTCGCCCCAGCGAGGCAGTTGGTCAAGCGGCGCAAGCAGGGCGGGTGGCTGCAACGCCATGCCGACGCGGTCAAGAAGGCGGTGTTGGGCGGTTTCCCTTCGCAGGAGGCCCTTTTCTCTTCGGGCCAGGCGGGCACTCCGCATTGCCAGCTTTGCGACGACACGACCTGTTTCGGCACCCACCAGCACTATTACTGGCGGTGCGGCAGCCCGACGTGTGCTACGGTGAGGGAGCAGCTGACGGCCCACGACGCGTCACCTACCTTCAGAGACGTCGGCCACCTGGGCGTGTCGGCCTCCTCGCCGGAAGCCTCAAGATGGTTGTGGGAGCGGGGTTTGCGGCGAACCCCATGTTACGGCTTGGCTTGGAGTCTACCGTCGCAGCGCACCCATTGGATCGTCAATGGCGCGGCCCCCGAGCTCACCGATGTGCTGGTTTCGGACGGATCAGTCAAAGGCTTGGATGACCTCAGGCACGGCGGCTGGGCGGCTTTGCAGTGCACAGCGGAGGCCGACGACGTGGTGCAGGGCCTGCACGGCCCACTGCCCTTTCCCGACCCCAGCTCGGTCCTGGCAGAGTTGTGGGGTCTCCTCCACGCCCTCAGGCATTCGGTCTTCATCACGGCCGTCATCATTGACAATGCTCAGGTGGTCCAAGGCTTGGCTCGTGGCAGGGCATGGTGTTGTTCAGCGGCCAGGCCCTATGCGCACGTCTGGCTCGAGATCTGGGATCGCCTGGATGACATGGACATCCTTCCTGGCAGAGAGTTGTCGGTCATCAAAGTCGCCTCGCACACATCGCAGGCCAAACGCCTAGAGCTGCCAGAGGAGGTCCAGATTCACACGAGGCACAATGACTTAGCCGACGAATGGGCCAAGCAAGGAGCAGACCTCAGCGCGCCGCCAGAGTGGGCCACGTTGCAGGTCAAGCAGGAGCTCAAAGCCACCAAGCGCGTGCTCGAGTACATCGGGCACTTCAGGGTCCTCCTCGACGGGGACAAGTTGGCGGAGCCTAGGCCCAAACGACAGCAGGGCCAAGAGGCCAACATTCCTCAGGCTGCACGACCCCAGGCTGGTCCCAGGCACCCGCACGTTCTGGAAGTGTGCCGCGGTTATTCCAAGTGCACCAACTGCGGCAAGGTTGCCCGCACTCGCCTCGCGGCCTTTCAGTTGCAGGAGTGCCGTGGTCGTCTCCAAGGGCTCCAGGGCAAGTTAGTCAAGAGTGCGGCCAAGAGAGGCAGTGTGGCGGTGCCTCTTCTCGTGGCGGCAGGCGCCGCCGCTCGGCCTGTGCGACAGCGAGCAGACCATGGAGATCAGGGTGAGCCTCGAGTAGAGCCCGACCCTGCGCCTGCCTCCCAGCTGGGCCCCGACCCGCTGTGGGCTCCTGTCGCAGCAGCCCGCGCGGCTCTTGGCAGGATGGAGCGGATACCTGACGGCCCTGTGTGCATGGGAACCCCGCCAAGCCAGCCACACATCACGCCCGAACAGCAGCATGTCCGTTCCATCATGGACGATGCCATCATCTGGGCGTCTTTCTGGATCGATCGTTTCGACGTGGCAGGCTTCACCAACGAGTGGGACTACCGTACGTGGTGTTCGGAATATCTTGAAAGGTTTCTCAGCTCGGCGGCGTGGGCACCAGTTCGAGAGCATCTTCTACGTAGCAACCCTGGCCGCACTCTCGGGCAGGTCGTCGACGACCTATGCGCCACCTCTTGGACGCGTGCCGAGCCAGCCCGTCAGGCTCAGTTCGCCAGGGCACGGCCTGACTCGGGTTTGACAGCCAGGCAGCGCCGTCGGCTGCTTCGGCATCACTTCGATGTGTTGAACCAGGTCAGGGAGCGTTTCAGGGATCTTCTTGGAGATCGTGCCCCGCCTGAGACGGCCTCCTGGCACCAGTGGGTCTTCGAGCCCCTCTCCTCGGATGACGACCAAGGAGGTGATGCGGCAGGCCGCGCCGCCGAGGACGCCCATGGCTACGACGATACCGACGAGTTCGCGGCCCTCAGCGTGCACAGCGACCTCGAGGTGGTGGAGGCAGACGGCAAGGCCACGCAGGCCACAGGCACCCAGGCGTCAGAGCGCGAGTCGTCGCCCAATCCCGACCTCGCCCCCAGGGCACTCCAGCCACAGGAGGAGGGAGCTCCAGCGGGAGGGGCGAGGCGGGAGGGTGTTTTGCGGATCCGCAGTGCGGCAGCCACCTGTTCCCAGGACGTGGACGACGGTGCTACGGCTGGCGCTGGGGCAGCTCCTGTTCCCACGGTGCCGCCTGCTGCTCAACCCGCTGGCGAGCCTGGAGCTGATCAGGGCGAGTTGGCCAGCTCCCTGGACGTGGACGGCAAGGCTGCCACCCAGGCAGCGGCCGCTGTGTGCTCCGCCCCCTTGGCGGCACACCAAGCTCGTGCTGGCCAGGGCAGCCTGAAACACGGTGGTAAGGCCCCAAGGACTGGTTCCTCAGCATCCTCGGCGGCGGCGGCGGGCTCTGGCCAGGGCGGCCTGGCACCGCTGGCGGGGTCCCCGCCGCCCTCGGCTGGGGCTGCGGCGGCCTCGGAGCCAGAGCGGGGTGCGCGCGGGCGGGCGGCCTCTGCCCAGCCCGCCAGGAGTGGCCAGGCGCTGCCTGCGACGGCCAGAGCCGCTTCATCGGAGCCTCGGCCACATACGGTCGAGATCATTGGCAACTTCGTGGTCTGCGTCGTGTGCGGTTCCTACTACAGCTCGGTGGCCAGGAACCTCGGCGGGCCGTGCAGGCGGCTGGACCCGCGCGACCCAGGCGACAAGGAGCGCCTCAGGCGCATTCGCCGCATCCAGCGCGGCCAGGACCCAAAGACTGGAAGGGATCTGAGTTGAGGCCGTTGTGCTCGTTCAATGATCTGTCTGGTCTCAGTGCGTGCGGCCCCCCTTGGCGCGGTGTTATCCGTGAGCTGAGGGGCCTGGGCGGGGCTGCCGCCCCGCTCGGGGCGCTCGGGCCTGCTTCCCCGCGTTGCGGGTGGCCTGGGCGCGGCGCGTTTCTCGCTGCGTTTCGGCCCCCCTTGGCAGCAGGCTGAGGGGCCTAGGGTGGGGCGCGGCCTCGAGAGGGCCACGGCGCCGCCGCCCTGGGGAGCGCGCGGGGGCGCTGCCCGCGGCTCGGCTCCTTTCGGGCTCGGCAGGCGACGGACGTCGCTCGAGGGCCCAGCGCACGGGCCTGGCGAGGTGCAGACGCCCCAGGCCGCCGACGCACCAAAGCACCAAAACACACACACACACACACACACACACACACACACACACACACACACACACACACACACACACACACACACACACACACACACACACACACACACACACACACACACACACACACACACACACACACACACACACACACACACACACACACACACACACACACACACACACACCGACATCTTTTATATATATATATATATATATATATAATATATATATATATAGGTGTGTGTGTGCTTGTGTATATATAACACGGATTCGTGCCCCTGGAAAAAGGGCCTATCTATACGCGCATGCGTTAAAACGCACGGATTCGTGCCCCTGGAGAGGGTGAGTCTATAGGCACATGCAACGAACGCGAGGATGCGCGCCCCTGGAGAAAGCAAATCTATAGGCACACACGAAAAACACACGCGGATTCGCGCCCCTGGAGAGGGCCAGTATAAACACACACGCAAGAACACACGGGTTCGTGCATGTGGAAAAAGAGGCCAATCTATCGGAACGCACGAACAACGCACATGGCCCATGGAGCGAGCCAGCCTATAACCTATGGGCACATGCGCAAAACGCACGGGCTCGCGCTCCTGGAGAGGGCCAATCTATAGGCACATATGAGACGAACACGGATTCGCATCCCTGGAAAAGGACCTATCAATGGACACAGACGTAGAAAGCACGGATTCGTGCCCCTGGTGAAGGCAATAGACACATGCGGAAACGCCGACGCCTCCGCCTCCTCGGCACGACACGGGGAGGGAGGCTGTCGGCCCTGGCGTCGCCCCCCTGACCAGGCTCAGCATCGCGTGCAACTCCAGATCCAGCTTCGGCGCCATCAGCCCGACGCCGCCCCGCGAGCCGCAGACGGCGGCGGCGCCGCCTCGCCGTCTTCGCCTCGCCCATGGCGTGCACCCACTGGCAGCGCTCCTCGAAGGTGCCAGCGTCTCCGCCGGCGGCGCCATCAGCTGGCGAGGCCGCGAACGCAGCAGCAGCGACAGCAGATCGCGCCACAGCGGCGACTGCCCCGCGAAAAGCTCGCGCGAGCACCGCGGCGCGCACGGCAGCCTCAACGAGCGAGGCCGCCACCGGAGCCGCCAGCGCCCCTCTGAGCCTCGCCGCCATCCCGCGCAGGCGCGAAGCCTCGGCGAGAACGAGCAAGCCGCGCGATGGCTTGAGCCAGAATGCGGATTCGTGCCCCTGGAGAGGGCCAATCGATAGGAACCTATGTAAAAACATATGGCTTCGCGACCTTGGAGGGCCAATCTACAGGATCATTCGCAAAAGCACACGCTGAGAGCATTTCTTCGACCAAACTGTGTCCCGCATGCTGTGATCGATCGGGATTTCAAAAACAAGCGTTTCGCTCGGGACATCCAGAACCTTTTAATTCGCCGGCCCTACGCGAAATCGCTATCGATCGCAGATTCATTTCGCCAGTCCTACGCAAGTCGAGGCCAGGGGGAAACCATTTAAAAGAGAACCCTGAGCCCGAGCCCTTCCCGGGAGAAAAACCCTGGGCCCCCGCCCTTCCCGGGAAAAGCTGGGCCGTCCGCGGGAGAAGCGCATCTACAAGTTCGCCCAGCAGCCTGACACGCCCGAGCGCGAGCGGCATACCGAGTGGCCCGTTGACGAGCGAGAGCGTGGATGACACCAGGAGTGTTCGGTGGCAAGGCATGGGAGCCTCCCGTACCATCTCGTCGGCTCTTGCGAATCGACGCTCGTCGCCGCGAAATCGACGCTACGTCGGCGCTGTCTCATCGATCGCCCAGACCCTAATCGATGCTAGTCGACGCTGAAGACGGCTCCCATGAATTATGTGCTACCGAAGGAAATGGGGAGGGAGAAGAACGACACGCCTGACCGTAGATGAAGGCGACATGTTGAGATGACCGCGCTCTGGCCGCCCGACGCGCCCGGCCGCGACGGGCGAGGTCGTGGCCTCCGAATGACCAGCGCGCGCTCGGGAGCCAGGCCGTGCGAGACGTATACTCCAGATTTCGTAATAAAAGGGAGGGGGTCTGGACCCTCCAAGACAAGCCATTTCAGACCCCCCCCGTGGGAGAACCCTCCAAAACATCGTCCCCAGACCCCCCCAGGCCCTCCAAGATAGCCTGGAAGAGACCCCCCCCCCGAAATGAGACCCCCCTCCCTTTATTACGAACTCTGGAGTATCCACAGCTGCAGCCAGGGCACTGAAACAGGGGGCGATAGACGAGGACCGAGGCCCCTCTCTCTCTGGCCCCCCATGAGCGCCTGCGAGCACGAGGTGGACTGAAGGAGCGGACGTGGAAGGGCCCATTGTCGCGGGACGGTGGAGGGAGGTGGAGGAGGCGTTCGGAGGCAGCTCGTGGGAGCCTCCCAGACCATCCTGTCGGCTCTTGCGAACCGACGCCAATCCACGCTGGTCGACGCTCATCGATGCTCATCGACGCAACCGACACTAGACGACGCTAAATCGGCGCTATCTCATCGACTCCCAGACGCTAATCGATGCTAAAGACGGAATTAACAGGGTACGCCAGGCTCCCATGATTTGCTACCGAAGAAGCGGGGGAAGCTGTCGTTGCGTGGACAACCAGGTCTATTCGCGAAAGGGCCACCGTCGGCATGCCTGGCGGGACTCTACTCCGCCATGAATTGCAGAAGGGTGGGATGCAGAGCACCAGGAGGATAAGGATGGACCGGAGGAGGAAACCGAATGGAATCGGGTGTGGCTCCAGTGCACCATGTGCAAACAAATAAGGTGCTCGCCCCAGTGGGCATACTTTGATCTCGAACGCGACCGCCATTGCACAATCGACGGCCGTGGCGATTCCACCAGAAGCATCGAAACGCTACTGCAACTGTCGAACTTGACAACACGCGAATACATCAGCACAACTGCATATGTGAAAACCGCTTGCCGTGACAACCCGCCGCTGCAAGCTGGCGCAGGAATCTTGACGAGCTGTTTGCCCGCACGTGCTCTCATGGAGGTATAGAGACCATGTCGCGGGAGGCGAAGAGATTGAGCCTCGAACGGTCAAATGGTCAAGTCGCCTTGGCGACTCGAAAGCGTTCCCACTCGGCTTTGGCCGCTTGTGGGCGAGTCGCCTTCGCAGCCGAAACGTGTACCTGCTCGGCCCACTCGAGTTGTGGGCGAACCGCCTTCGCGGACTGATGGCGTGCCGGCTCGGCCTGCTTTGACTACCTACCAGACCACCCCAACCCAACCCGAAGACCCGAATTTGACCCGAATTTCGGGTTGGGGGGGGGTACGGACACCATGTGTTTGCTCAACGTTCCCCGACCCCCCCCCACTGGAAATGGAAGGCAAATTGAGGCCTTCGGGTTGGGTTGGGGTGGTTTGGTAGGTGGTGATGCTTGTCTTGGGGACGAAGCCCCGGTCAAGTCTTGCTCGAGCTTGCCGTACATCTCTGCAAGGTCGTGCTGAGCATTCTGGAGCTCTCTAGAAAATCGCTGGCGTTGAGGCCTGGCACGGCGCGCGCAAGGGTTGCGAATATCCCACTCGCCTACGAAGAACCGGACGATCGAGGGACCCACAAGAGGCATGCGAGCAACGTTGGCAGGCCCTGCCAAAGTGAGAACCAAAACAAATGGCCCTATGACCAGAGCAGTGCTGAACATGAAGCCGCAAATGCTGACAGCTCTTATCGGTATGCAAATAAGAATGGTATCAAGCGACATCGCTGCAAATGCCTTTCGGTCTGTGGTCAGTACAAACGCAAACAAAACTGACCAAACCACACCTTGTACGATGCAAATGTAGGCCGAGATGCCGTGATCGAGAATGCAAACGTCGCTCCAAAGCGAATGAGCAGGAATCCACACCCAGAGTATGCCGGCCTGCGAGACGATCGAAGCCAAATACCAATTAGTAACATTACCAAGTTTGCCGACTCGCTGTGCCGTGTCGCGCAAGCATCTGGTGGAGAGACCTGTGCGAATCAGGCATTCCACACTTTGGTCTACAGCGAACTCTCGGGATTCCTCATGCAATTCGCCGCGAATCAGTTCGCCGTCTCGAGGCACGGAACACTGTGCGTCACGAACGTGGCCCGTATAGCCCAAAGACAGGTTCACTTTCTCTCGAACGGCAACGACCGCCCATAAACGGTCCGCTTCCATACAAAGGCCAAAAGCAGAAGCAAACAGGACGCCGACCCAGTTCATGATGTGCATCATGTCTAGTTGCAATATGAACCCCATGCAAATGCCAGCAAACAGAACCGTCACGCGACAAGAATGACGGCAAGCAGTGACCGATGGCGTTTTTCGCAAGATCGTGTAGGTAATCTTAGTACCAATCATGACCAACAGGAATAGGTTCCTGAAATATGCCACGAAATGGTCGAAGGCACTGAAGACAAGGACAAGGCAACAGGCAACGCCGATGCTTAGCCCAACTAGACATACACCCAACTGGGATAAGACGCGAGGCCAAAAAGCACGAACCGGACTTGCCGCGCAGAAGATTCGCTTGTCCAAGGTGTATGCCAGGTGCGCCTCGTAAGTGCACCAGACCCTGCAATAAATACTTCCTCTGCAATTGGACACGACCATCATGTCCGTTGCCGAGCGAAGCGCATGGGCAAACGGAGAATCGCGTGGACTCGATACGAGATGCGCAATATCAAGGTTCTGCGGGTTGGACAGGAAACAGATATACGCATGCTTTTTCCCAGCAGGCCACGAGTGCAGGACTTTATCGATAAGCTCAAAAATTCCCTCTTGCCAGCCATGCGTGACGAAAAGGTCGCACGCGAGGCCGTCTGGGTGAAGCATCAGAGCCCAACTCGGATTCCCTGCGCGGGCAGTGACGGGCTTGATATACTGATCAACGATGATGTGAATGCACGGTCCTATCACGTTCTCTGTCGGATCGAACGGGTCTGCTTTCGTGGGCCTGATACGTCCATCCAAACATGCCCGCCGCACTAGTCTCCTGAATTGCTCCAAATCCGTCCGTGTGACGCACCATTTATGTGGAGAGATACTGTTATGCATTCGGGCACCGTCTAGCACGATGGTCGGAACCTCCGCAAAATCATCCTCCACTGTTCTCTTGGCCGGCCTGTCGACATACCAATGGCGAAGCCGACCTCCAACCCAAAATATTGCCCCCACTGCGAATACGATTAATGCGAGAACGCAAGAGGCCATCATATTTGTGCTGCTGTAATTTCCGCACATGCCTCTGTCAAACGTGAAACGGGCCGTACTGCTTGCGCTGTACGGGTCGCCTTCCGTGCAACATGTGAACCGGTAGTACCGTGGTGAATAAACAGATAGATGCGAAGGCTTGCCAATAACACGCGGGATGCCCTTCTCGCACGAGCACGGCTGCGTCTCTGTTCCAGCCAAACAATCTCTGAAAAAATCAAGGCACCACTGCGAGTTGCAAGTGACTCCCGTTTCGGTTGAAGAAAAGGCGGTTCTTGCTTGCATCTCCAGCGAGGGCGATGTCCATCGCTGCGTCAGAAAACTCGGGCTGTCCTTCCAGCAAAAGCGGCTACGGGAAAGGTTGAGCAGGGACCGACCGTCCCGGCATTCCTATACGCTTGCCACGAAATGATCTAAGAATCCAAGAATGTTCTAAAAACGGAACACTGTTCTTAGAACATAAACCCGATGCGCTAAGCGCGACAGCCCCAGCCAGAACTGTTCTAGAACATTTCGTGGAAGCCAAAAAAGGTTCTTAGAACATTGTTTGGTAGGCCTATAGGCACGCCAGAACGCTTCGCCACTGCTTGAAAAGGGGCCCTGGGTCTTTACTACCCCCGTGTTCCACCACACGAGGCCTTGATGCATTGCACCTTTGACCCCACGAGGCGCAGTGGAGCGCTGCGGACTGCCACGCACGGGCCTCGGGGGGGAACGAAAGGGGGGGATAGTCAAGGGCAGGGTAGAGAATCGGCTCTCGCAGCTGATCTTCCCGGCGCCTCCCGGCGCAGGGAGGCGCCCAGGTGTCGAGGAATGGGCCCGGCGGCGGGGCCGAAACCAGCGGCACGCAGCAGATTTCGTACCCCCCCCCCCTTTCCCTGGTCCCCCCCTTTCGTTCGGCCCGAGAGCCGTGGACGGCTCGGGATGGGCAGCGGTCCCGGGCAGGGAGGCCGAGAGCTCCAGGGAACCGCACCTCCACAACGGCGCGCCGCCAAGTCTCTGGGCGTCTGGCCCGACGGCAGGGTCTGTGCGTACCCACCGCCAGGGGCCCCAGGAGGCAGTCGATGGTGACTTCCTGGGCCTCCTGGGGCCCGAAGATTTCCACATCCACCGCCTCCTAGGCTCCGGGACACGGGCTCTCGTGGCGTTCCATGTGCACCTGGGTCAGCCAGGGCCACATCCTCAGAGATCTGATGTCTTGATTGCTTCCCGAAGTCCTGACCACTTCCCCGAAGCGGGCTTCTCATCCTGGGTCGCTGCTTGGACGGGCCCTGGGGTCTGGCGAGGGTCCCTGGAGACCGAGAACGACGAACGAGGACGCCGTGTTGGCTTTGTCAGCGCGCTGGATGCTTGGACTGTGAAACCCGGCAAGCCGCGCATCAGCTCCCAGACCCGGGTCAGCGGAAGGAGGGGGGCGGCTCCACGTGCCCGACTCCGGAGATCCCGAACCCAAAAACGTTGGCGTCTCACTCTGTGCGCTGGCCGCCTTCCGCCGCCGTCCCGGGTGCTCGAACGCATCCGACACTGAGAGTACGGGATCCTCACGAGAAGCAAGCATGTCCGTGCCCGCACACTCGGGGCTTGCATTCTGGGGCGCGATCCCGCGGATATGCGGTCGCACGGATACGTCCCGCGTGGGGCATCGGCGTCGGGGAAAAAACGCCCCGCATCCGCCGGGTCGCGGCCACGGAGGCCGCGGAGGCGGACAGATATGCTCTCCGCCCACGACGTCTTGACGCGAGTCGCTGTCCCGGGAGTGCCTAGGCCAACGTGCTGCACGGCGGTCCCTTCGCTCGCCAAGGCCTTCGCGCTGGGGTGCCTCGGCCAACGAACTGCCCAGGCGCCTCGCCGCTCGCGCCGCGGCCGCTGGAGCAGAGGGGCCCAGGGACACGCAGGTTAAAGGTGCACAAGCCCCAAGATCCCTCAGATGCT